TCAGCAGGACTTCACCGTCCCTCCAGAAGATCCTCACCCCAGTACGGGGGACTTCGGTGTGACAGCACTTGTTGCATAAACATGTTGTTGCTCCCACTTGCTGCTGGAACAGCAGAGCAACGGCCAGAGGCTCCACCAAGACTCCACCCGCACCCTGCTCCTGCTTCCCCCAGTGACAGTGGCACGCTGCGGCACGCGGCAGCCCTGCCCCGCTGCTCGGTGGCCTCAGAGGACCAGAGGGGCACAGAAGGTCACTGCAGGTCACAGCACCACACCCCTCGGGAACACCCCACTCCCCAGCTGTCAGTGAAACCCCTCAGCAGTCAGGAAATTCCCAACACTGTGTGCCCCTCCTGGGAACCCGGGTGATTATGCACTGCCCCTCCCCTTGCCTGCTCCCTGCTCCACAGAGACTTCAGCTGGGGACGGGATATTTCTGTCACACAGCTTCAGAAATGCATTCCCAGAAGGACTCGAGACAGAGGCCTACTTACTTTTTGCAGACGTGCTGCGAGCCGCTGCGGTATTCGTGATCAAAGGCTGGCAGGATGAGCTGATGCCTCTTGAACTTGCTCTGCTCCATGCGGGTCAGGGCTGGTGTAGGAGGGTCCCGCCACTCGGGGCTGAAGACGATGAAGGAGAGAGGCTCACTGGAGTTCTCTAGCAGTTTCTAGTTCAACAAGAAAACGAGCAAATCTCAGCACTGGCTGAGCAATGACACATCTGGGGGCTCCTACAGGACGACACACTTCAGAGTGGTGCTGTGGCCGTCATCGTCCTGTGTCTCCTGCGTTCTGGCATGAGGGCAGGGGCGCCACGGGGAGAGCACTGGCTGCACGTACCTCGAAGTGAGAGACCATGGCATCCATCAGCTCCTCGCAGAACGGAGGATTTGCCTCAAAAGAGCCACTTATAGGCAAGAAATCCAGGCAGGGGCTGCATGGAAAAGGCAAAGATACCTATCAGAGAGGGCAGAATTCTAATCTTCACACCTTACAAAGCATCTGTGTCCTCAGACAGGTTAGTTGTCCCCTCGGGTGGCCCAAACTGCTGGCAGCACAGGGCTGGCCACTTCAGGATTGTCCCTGTGGCCCCCAAGGGACTGCTGGCTTCAGCCCCTGCTCAAGCACCCGGGCTCCTATGCTGCAGAAGGACAAGCGCCACAGCCCGGTGTCAGCCTGGGGCCAGAGCCCTCTGATGGGACTAATGGCACGCGCCCCGTGGCTTCACAGCCAGCCCGCGTCCTCGGGCAGGCCCGGAGCACAAACCCTCTGAGCACAGACTCCTTCACCCAACCACCTGCAACACAGACACGTCGGCCCATCCCGAGCCACAAATGCCCCCACAGAACCGCGGCAACAGCACCGGAGTGCAGGACTCACCCCCTGGATCCGAAATACCCGTCTGTATCCAAGAAGGCCGAACAGTACTGTTTAAAATAGCAATTCAGGGGCGAGGCAAAGCACTCGAAACTCACTCCGAAGAGCTTGTGGAGGGCTTCGAAGACATGCACGGGCAGTGCCCCTTGTAGGCCAGTCCCTTCGTACAGACCCACACCGAACATCATCTGGGGAGAGCAAAGCCCGGTGAGCCGTAAAAGCCTTGTCCCGCCGCTCCCTCCACTGACCAGTGCCCAGGGCCACACGTCCATGCACCCACTCCTCTAGGCACGCAGGGCCCCCTCGTCCTTTCTCAAATTCGTGTAGGTTCCCTGCATGTACCCAAGAACGCTCTTTAGATATTTCATCTGACTCAGGCCCCAAAACCCAACCATCAATTTTCACACACGCCCCCTCTGAACCTTCAACTGGTCCTCGGAGGCAAGAGCTACTGAAGGTTCCTTCCATAAAAATTTATCTTTACCCTCCCCGAGGTCTCCTGACAAGGCCACAATTGCTCCCCTCTCCTGGTCTGAGCTAAGCAGAACCACTGGGCAGTTCTGGTCAGTGGTTCTGACCACCACAGCCCTACCTCCGAGCACTGGGAGCAGACAACAGCCCCGGCCTGGGGCCCTCCCCCAGGGCAAAGACAAGCAGCTCAGCTCCCTGCTGTCACTGAGGCTTTCTGACGTACAACAGCCCTGATGGCCCAGTACCTGATATCGACGGAGAAGGCACCAAACCCTGGGCAGAAACTTTTCAAAGACAGAGTCGTCAATGCAGCTGTACCGGTAGAGGAGCCACTGGAAGAGAAAGGCCGGGCATGAGCAGGAGCAGAACCGACGGGGACAGGAGGGTCCTGTGCAGTGGGATGGGGCAGGGACCCTGCAGCAGGAGAGGCTTTCTGGAGGCCTGGCAGCACGTCTGCTCTCACTCCGACTGTGAACCCCGAGCTCTTCACTAGGGTGAACCAACGCACCAGAGCAGCAAGTGCCTCCCAGCCAGGGCTGCTGTGGCACGAGCGTGTTTGTGCAGCACCTCGTCAGCATTCCCCGAGCAGCCCAACCCTGACCGAGGTGGGAGTAGCTTTCCTCACTCCCTGCTGCTCCCCAGCAGCACGTGACAGCCCACATTGGGTCAGCGCCCACTGCCTCACGCCATCCCTCCCGCCGTGGGACAGGAAGAAATGAAACCTGCCCACTGGGGGCCGCAAGTCCCACGGGACGGGCAGGCAGCCCTCACCAGCTTGCTGAAGTAGTTGCGGCTCACTTTCACCATCTCCCCCTTGTATCGCACGCACACCACGTTGTTCTCCATGTGCATTTCCACGCTGGGGAGCGGAGGGGAGGGGATGGCCAGTCTCACTGGGTAACAGTACACCAGCCTGTCCTGGACCTCGGGAACTTCCATCTCGGCTATGGAGGATAAAAGGAAAGGTGGCCCGTCAGCACCCAAGGACACGTGGCACGGATCTTCCTTCTGCCTCAAAACACGCAACAGCAGCAGGGCTAAGAGCAGAGCGGTCCTCCCAGACCCCTGCGGTGGTGCCCTGTAGAACTTGGAGGCTCAGAGCTGATTCCCCAGATTAACTTCATTCCCCACCGGCAGAGCACAGAGAGGATCCATCTCGCAGCAGCACACCTGTGGACCCCAGCGCTGTGAGGCGTGTTCTAGGGGAGTGAAGCACTTCCCTGTTTGCTCCTCATCTCATTTCAGTTTGCCCCAAACTCATCCAGCACGCAGTAAATATTCTCAGGTCGTCAAGAATAGGAGGCAAAGGAATCTGCCCGTCACCCCACGGTCACCCCTTGTGGGCAGTGGATCAGCCCCAGCTCTGGCGGGACAGAGCAGAGCTCATGGGAAACACCAGCCAGGGGGAATCACGGATTCAAGCGGGTCAAGCAGTGGGGAAGGGGTCCGTCAGCTGTGCCCCAGAGCTCAGGAAAATGCAGAGCTAAAAGCATCATCAGGGAAACAAACTAAGGCCCTGTTCAGCCTGACCAGCTACTTAATCCTGACAAATCACACGTTTACAATATCTGGTATTACAGCTGAGAACAGAACCTGGTCACAGAATCACAGAGTGCTGGGGGTTGGATGGGACCCCGAAAGATCATCTGGTCCCAGTCCCCTGCAGAGCAGGGTCACCTAGGGCAGGTCCCACAGGAAGACATCCCGGTGGGGTCTGAAAATCTCCAGAGAAGGAGACTCCACACCCTCTCTGACAGCAGATACCGGTGACCGCTGGCCAGCTAGTGCTGACTCTCTGCAATCCCGGCCCGTGGCCTCAGGGCAGCCCCCCCAACAGACACCACTTGAGCAGAGGGCACACATAACACAGGCCAGAGTGCGTGCCTGCGAGTGGCCGCGCCGCAGCCCTACAGCCCCCAGAGCCGACTGCGTACCAGATATATTGTTCTCTTTGAGTATGGCAAGATGCTTCTCCCGGATCCGCTTGACGTATTCAAGGGATATGTAGTAAATTTTACTGCAGATGCCTTCCACCGAGTCCTTTGCTGCCGCCGACACGTGGGGCCCACACTGTTTGCGTAAGTGCTCCAGGCGGTCCTGTGGGGACACAGAACCAGAGACCCTCACACGACCCGCTTTTGTGCTCTTCGGGGCCGTGCACCACTCCCGCTCCCCAAAGCCGAGGAGAAGCAATCACAGCGTCCTCCAGAAGGACCCCGACATCCCCCACCCCTTCCGGGGCGGCACTGACCATGTAGTCCTCCTTAGAGGCAGAATGGTCCCGTCGCAGCCAGCTGAAGGTGTCCTCCACGTTCCACTTCACCACCTTCCTGCTGTCTGGTGAAGCACTCCTGCACCAAGCAGAGGAGCAGAACTGAACCACGGCTGCCAGGCAACACCTTCTGTCCCACTCCCATGGCCGACCCTGCAGCGAGGCCCTGCCCTGTCACCCCCTTCAGGCCTTGCCATGACAGGGACAACCACGTTCTCGCTCTCTCCAAAGCCAAGCATGGACGCAAGACGAGAGGCAGAGAAAGCACGTGGAACTGGTCCAATTTGATTTTGTCTCTCATTTCCAAATGCAGCCCTTGCCAGAAGCTCGTAACTGAGACAATCACCCCGTTCACCAAGTTTTCGCGCTCCCCACAAGGTTAGATCCCTCCGTTCTGCCCTGTAGCAGAACTCGTGAGAAAAACCACACAAGCTCTCCACGCTTGCTGCTCTTCAACAGCAGCGAGTGCCCCAGCACTCCTGGCTCTTCCTCAGAGATAAGTGAGAGGAGGCGTCCCGCGCCCAGCATTTCACAGATTGTCACTTGTCCCTCCACTCAACATTTTACTGCGACGCTACAGCTACTGCTGGTTTCCTTCTGTGCCTTCCTATCCCTGCTCTTCTTCAGCAAGATGATGACCCACCCTAGCACGGCGGGATGCGGCATCCCCTTCTGCAAGTCCCCACAACCTTTTTCAGTTTTCTGAACGGGACAAGAGGAACTCCCACCTGGATTCGATCAGCCGCTTCGCAGCCTCGGCGTACTTGAAGAGCAGTCTCTTGGCTTCCTCCCGGAACTTGATTCTGGATAACCTGAGGCAAGTTTAAATTCACGTGCATCAGCTCCACGGAGGCCAGACCCAGTCTCAGAGCTTCACGTCACCAGCACCCCGCCGCTTCACCAGCAAAAGCGAAACACAGAAGCCCAGAACCATGGCAGCTGGCTCACTGACCAGTGCAAAACACCCCGGCCAGGTGACCCAAGTTCCAGCAGTACCTGATGGGAATGTCGTTCATGATCTCTCGGAACATGGAAGGCGATACTACTGGCTCACAGTCACTCGGTAAAAGAGGATCTGTCCCTTTATCAACCACCTTCCTCTCCAACATCCAGCGATTAAAGGACTCCCTCGGAGGGTCGATTCCTGGAGAAGCACAGGAAAAGGATCTGATCGATTCGACCAGGAGCTGCACAGAGGTTCCGTAAGGATCGCCACGTCAGAATTCTGCCCAACGCGCCCACCACCAGCAGCGTGACAGCAAGTACAGCTGCCACACAGAGTGATCACAAGGACAGGACGGGCACAAAGCAGAAGGAAGGACACCACAGCATGGCAGGGCCGGTACAACAGACAAGGGGAGCCAACAGGAACGTACCTTCTCGCTGCTGGCAGAGCTCACGGTAATGCTGCCGCAGCTTGAGAATGAGCTGGGATCGAAGCAGCTCCACCTCGGGGTGTGGAGAAAGCACTTCAGAGGGTGCTCTCTGCTTAATCACTGCGTTTGTCTGAATATCCAGGTCCCAATACACTCTACGGCAGAAGCAAACCACAGAACGTTCAGGGTTGGAAGGGACCTCTAGAGACCATCTAGTCCAACCCAAACGTCATCAGGATGGCCAGATCGTTGGCTCGTTATCAAATGTTACTTCTAAAGATGGTTCCTTGGGCTGGTTCACCAGCCAGGAAACCGAACTACTGAGCCTCCTTGCACAGATATAGGAAGGTGTTATGTCCCTCAGGTTCCAATTCAACGACCCCTGGAAAACCAGGAGTCTCCAGCCTCCCACCGTGAAAAGAGCAGAAGAGAAATGGAGACAACTCACTCGGTTGGTCGCAGAAGAGCTGCCTGCTGCTTGTCTTCAGGTGAAACACACCACGCCTTCAAAACAGAGGTTCCTGGAATACTGGGAGAGCTGGGGACTGGCTGAGCCACTGGGTTCCCTGGGACATCGGCCTGAGCAGGAGAAAGACGAGTGACCGTCCCGCAGGGACAGGCAGAGGGGAAGGAGCCCAGTACACCCAGTGGCCCCACACCAGCACCCCGCCTCGGGGACCTCCGCAAAGTGCCAAATCATGTTGTGCCTCCTGGTGCCGTAAGTCAACATGGAAGTGCAAGCTGCCAGGCCTCAGTCACCGCCTGCGACCCCCCAACCCGCACCCTCTACCTCGGGCCCTACCAGAGAAACGAGAGCTCGGCAGGACCCGAGTCTGCCTCCACTTTTGTACTTCCCGAGCGCAAGCTGGGACCGCACGAGCTACGTTGGGGTGCCCCGACCTTGCAGAGTTCAGAAAAAAAGAGTTCCAAGCTCCAGACTCCCGAGGCTCCAGTCTGAACAACATCCTGAAGCTGATTCGCTTTGCAGCACCCCACCCACCTTGGCCTTTTTTACGCTGTTGCCACTGCTCGGT